TTCTAGCTTCTTCCTGGAGATTCTTTCAGCCGCCAATACTAAAGTTACAGACGATTGATTACCTGGTTCTGTATGGACCTTCAGTTTCATCCAATCGCCAACTACGAATATGCGAGGAGTTAGCCCAAAGTCCACGCTCGATATCCAGTATACCCGCCCAATCGGTGAGGCTGCTGATTTGCCGATGGTATTCTCTCCTATATGTTATGAGCAAAGCAAAGTTGCCCCCCCACACACAAGTGAAACGCACATGTCAAGTACTGTCTTTCGTATTCTCTTCCGCTCTGTCGCAATGACAGCTTTACGCCAGTCTTGAATTCGAGACACAGATCTCTTCACGGTGCTCTCACCAAGCTGCACGCTTAGTCTGACCGACGCTACACGACGTCTACGGTGTTTACCGCCAACGACGGCTGCGGAGTCAATAGTTGTCTCTTGCGACGAACGCGGATTCAGAGCTGTTTCAGCGGACTGTAGTATCTCCATTATCTGATCATAATATCAGTTATGAAGGACATCAGGAAGAGTGTTCACCATACCTCTCCTTTTTGAGAATTCGATACGTTATTATCTAACACAATACTGAGGCCGAGATGCGACAGCTTCTCCAAGATTCGAATGAAGTCAGGATACAGATCACCTGCCATTGAGACTGAAGTCACAAGTGATTGATATGCTTCAATGAATGAAAGGGTGATCGCCTGAGATTTGAAAACGTGACGGAAGGTAGGAATTGTCGAGTGATACTGAATCAACTCTTCTAACAAGCTTTCTACGGTAGCTGTTTGTTCGCTAAAGTCTGGCGGAAACGTGAAACTATGTCGATAACATACAGCTAAAATAACGCACCAACGAGGTTCCCGCCAACAGTTTTCATGGCGATATCCAGATTCAACTTCAGCGCGGAAAATATTGCTGGTAAGATTTGAGGACACGTAACTACTGGAGGGGCGCCTGCTTGGTCCCCCACTTGGCCAAAGAGTAGATCAAATGCAGCTTTTTGTACCACAGAATCCCAAGCATGGGGAAGAATGGTCTTGAGGACGTTCCAACCACTAGCCAGTTCAAACTTCCGGCTAAAACTAACGCTTGTACTGAGACTGATACCGACAAGTTGCAGAATCAGAGATGCGGTTGTGGGTGACGGTCGCTCTCCAAGTAGGAGAAGGCAAACGCGGCCTACAGGAAGCCCGCCAGAGAATTTTGCATATGCAGCAGGTGAGCTAAGGATCGAGACCAGCATACCCAGGACTTGTTCAGCTTTACACTGAGCGTTAACATAGTCAATGCGAGAAACTATTGAACGTGGGGAAGCTGCATCGGCGGCGACTGTGAAGAATCAGCATATTGATCTGGAGATGTAACTGAAAGCAACCTGACCTTCGTGGAGATTAGAAGCTAGATACGATACAATGGGCTTGATAGCATCGTCAAGAGTAAATTGAGCCTGAGCTACTACCTTGATGGCACCAATCAAAGACGACAGCATATCCATGGAATACAAAGAGGTCTGCAGCACAAACAGTAATTTGCGGATAACGCCCAATTTGATTATCCGCTGCTTCATATTGAAACGTTTAAACTTGCTGGCTGACAATAGAGTGGCGAAATGTTCTAGGTGTACACGCTGAATCTCTTCCCTCGTAGAGGCCCAGAGTTGGAAATCAAGAGCAATCGCGCGATAAGCAATCGTGTTCACTATAGTAGACTGACTAATATCATTCAGTACGATTGATCCGAATGTACATGCACAAACTAGAAGACTTACTCCGGTGTGCGAAAATTGAAGCCCAGAAACTCGAAAAGCGTCTCAAAACCGGTCATGTTGATATACTGACTCTTAGCACGCAAAAATGCGGTCAATACATCGTAGCCACCTGGACTCTGTTAGGAACCATGCATATGAGCAAGTGATAAAACATACGGAGTCGCTCCATATCTTCAGAATTCTGCCAACTATTCTTTAACCCGTCTACCAGGATACCTAGCGCCCGCGAAACTTCATGGGCACTCTGCAATAAACCCCACAATGAATTAATTTTGTACGCAAAATTTAAGACAGCATCGCTTACATGAGACAGTCCCACTAAACGCAATGCAACAGTCGCACCACCGATCCTCCACATAGCGAGGTCCAGCGCCCCACGTCTCGCAATGAAAACGTCGCCATCGGCAATGATCCCTTGAGATTTAGGCATCCCCCTTCTGTAAATCTTGCTCGAGGGGGTGATAGCAAAGAGAAAGGATGACTCGCTGATCTTAAGTCCGCCCTTAATTGCATCATGAAGCTGAGCAACATCTTTCCGTGTTACAGACTGTTGTGCGCCGCCATCAAGATGAATATGCAGTGCAGTAGATGCTTCGTATGTGAGAAACTTGGCCAGTTCCGTGGATTTGAATTGCGCAGAGTATCGAGGACCAAGGTGGTGTATAAAACGGGGAATGCTATCACCTGTCAACATCAAATTACGACAACACCTTGGATGAAGCGAGGTAAGACTGTACCCAGAGGGGAAGCGATAAGATACGCAGAAGCGAAACACCAATTCATGCCAGAAGCACCGTTATCTCCAATTTGATACATTCCTAGACCCGGAGTTGCTTCTAGTCCTGGATAATGCCAATTAAGGGCATCTACCAAGACGCCATCCAAAAACAATCCTGTTAATTGTGATTCTGAGATCTTCCTCTAAACTTCCCGAATACAGACACACTTACTGACGGTCGGGTTTGAGGAACGATGTGGATAATGCACCAATGTAAGGTGGGCCCAGCGAGCCCTGACTACGTTAACATTTAACGGAACAGGATCCCTTCCAGGGCTGCCACTGTACGCAAGTGTCCCGTCAGGTCGTAATAACAGTGTGACAATGGTAGTGTTCCTTAGAAGACATGAGAAGATTGTGTGGGAGGTAGTTGGTAATTTCTCAATCCAGACCCAGATCTGATATTCACTCATCAGAGATTATGTCAAAGTGCAAGGAGAGAAACATCGTCACCATGAACGTGAAGCCGGACGGTGACAAGCCTCTGATGCTCGGGTGGATTACTTGTAAAGCAGCGGGAGACTGCAATGTCATATGCTCTGGCCATTGCACTTTCATGCCCGCACGTAACAACTCCAAAACATCGGGGTCCAGTGTGTCGTCCACCCGCAATGCGCGTTGAAACATAAGGCGTGCCTCGTCTGTCGTGGTGCCCACATCAATCAATCGACGCAAAAGCTTCGCCACCAATTGACGTTCCTGCTTGACCACGTCAACGTCATCTTTCCATACACAGTATTGCTGAAAAAGTGGCCCTGCGATATCGAGGCTGCTCAAAACGCAGTGATTTCGATGATTGTGATACGACAAACGCTCTAGGAGTTTGAAGATGCTGTAACGTAACGCAGGTCCGTCCGCCGACGCTTGCGGTATAAATCGGTACAGCATAGACAATGCCTCTGGCAGGAATATAGTCCCGAATGCGGGCTCAAAGTCGCGGATTCTGTGATCCAATTGCGCATAATCTGTCTCGGAGCCAAAATCAAAGATACCAGACATAGAAAATCTATGCAGTGCGAGAGAAACTAGGAACCCTAGTGTATGTCTGATTGTAGTTCTGTCAGAAACCAATCCCAGGATGGCTTGTGTGAGGGAATCATATCCAACAGAGTGCTGCGAGAGTGTTAGGTTGTGGAAAATCACGGAGACGTTACACACCTTGAAGAAATCAATATTCTCCCCGTGCTGATACAATGCCTCGGCTAGTATAACGAATGCTAGTCGGGTCGCATCTAAGATTTGGACTCTTCGAGCCTCGTTGTTCCCGAGGTCAGCTTGAAGAGCAGAGAGAACGCTTATGACCACTAAGAAGCCATCCGTCTCACGAAATACGTCCTTTGTTGTAACATCTTCAAGCATGACTTTGTGTATCTCTGTCAGTACCTGTCCTAACTATCAACTTGAAATGTAAAGCGTAGCCCTAGCTCCGACATACCTCCCCTCTCACTTCCAAAATCTCTGCTGCCTTGAGCCTCTCAATGGAGGACCTCATCACCTCCACCAGCACGTCCCGGGCAAACACCTCTGGTGCCAACTCATCGCGCTCAATTTGTCCACTCGGATGAGGAGTCGATGGTTGAAACGAAAAGCGCGCACTAAGTGGCGTGAGGAGCGTGCGGAACATATCGAAAACGACCTCTAAGTTAGGTGCAGGCTACGCAGAATCCAAGCACATCTCAGAATCTCCGCAGTCACCAGAAGAGATGCCACGAGATTGATCTTGCTTCACGTAAGGGAAGAAGGTGTGCCGTCTCCAAAGCGCTCTCGATCAAGAAGCAGACAAGTTCAAGTTGTGAGCAGCTTCGGAGGTTGGGCGAACAAAACAGATAAGGATTGTCTACTCCCTGGGGCCCATCCCCGCCGCCAGTAACACTGACAGTGATCGCGACAGGAGTGCCGCGATCACGTGTATCCCGTGATTATCCACGTGACGGGCGCGTTAATCGCGCCAGCATACAAGCTGACTTGGTTCAAGTTGAGTCGCCGGTCAAGCAACTGCTGAAAAGAGACTGACCCAATGACAGCTGACTGACAGATTGAAGTCAACCTTCAACGTCCGACCTCCAGCATCTACACGATCTTGAGGCTTTTGTTTACCAACTCGATTGTCGCTTTTGCAGAGATAAAGTGGTCTGTGACTACGATGCTGGGCATACACATCTTTGCTATGCTGTTCTACGTCGCCTCTGTAGCTTCTAGTGTATACCCGACCCGCCCTATAGCCAAGACGGTTATGGGCGCTGGTCGTCTCTCTTCTGTGACTTGGATCAACGATAAAACCTGGCCGTCTTTGTCGGAAATGGGACCCATGAAAATTGACCTCTATCTTGAAGACGACGTAAGTTACGTACAAGCAAGTAGACATCTAGTTCACGAAGATTCTATTAGACATTTGTTGCTACACTAGCCAAAAATGTTGACCCCACTCGGAGGTCGCAGAAAATTTGGATCTCTCCAACCTGGGGGCCCAACGGCTCGGAATAGTACGTTTCTCCGCTTATGCACCCGGGCTGAGAAATTTGACTAGGAGATTAAGCCACATGCGTTTTATCTGCGAGACGCCGCCGCTGACAGTCTACACCGCCGATTTCACGATCACTGCTATGGACGATACATCACCCTTTCAAGGCGCAGAGAAGGCTGTCATTTCTTCTACCGTTGGAGGCGCTGAGGCTGCGATGTCTACATCTTCCGCTATTGCGCCTTATCCCAGCTCTCCCAGCACTATGACTACGTCATCCACTGTTTCTTCAACTACGCAGACATCAAGTCCCACCAGTACAACCTCTTCACCTACCGGCACTCAAACTCACAACCCATACATGAACAAGGCCAAAACTGGTGCAAGTGGCGGGGGTCTCTGGACACGAACTACTGTCGATCTCGAACGAGTCAAGTTCCGCTTGGTCTTCATCCTCTGGCCCATGATGATTGGGATCACAATGGCGATTTGAACTGTAAATTATCTGTATTCTATTTAGTATTCTGTCCACGCGAGTGCGGGCTGGTCTCTCGTCGCGCTAGTTGGTGTATCCCATATGTTGTAATTCGGGAATTTGTAGCGATAAGACAGAAACAATGACTTCTCGGTGTAAATGCGTGGTGATATCATGACGAGCGAGAGCACTTGACTTCTTCTGTGGCATGCAAAACACTGCCACACATTGTATACGTTGCTCAGAGTCACAGAGCACATCGCTGCATACTACTCTACAAACAAATGACAACGTATCAATAATTCACGATAGATATCACATCACTGACTTCCTCAAATGTACAACAAAGACGAATAATGTAGAATCACATCCACACAAAGACCCAAAGCACAGGTAACACGTCTAATAGTTTTCCTCTTCCTCCTTTACAACAGCGCCCGCAAAGCCTGCCCACCGCCGCTGCCCACCTCCGTCTGGAGCGGGCATCATGCCGACATTCCAGGCATCATCCATACTAGGCCGTGGCTTGAAGCTCTCACGCCGTGCTCGGGATGCCTTCTTCGCGGCCATGCTCGAGCCCAGCGCCACAGCCTCGTACGCCCTATGCGACGAGGTTGTCGAACAGTGCGAAGCTGCCCGCATCTGTGGCTGTGCGGACTGGTAGGGATGGTAGTTATGCAGATGCGAAGCTTGTGCAGACGGCGCTCGTCCATGGCCTAGTACATGATGCGCAGTTCTAGGTTTAGGCACAGGCATCGCTACCGATACTGGCCGCGGAAGCGATGATGAATCCATAGGCATCTTTCCGGACATCTTGCTGGGGGACGGAGGACGATACGTGCTGGGACCCCTACATATACCCAAAGCGGCTACGTTGCTCGGCATTGGCACATTGTTATATGCGGAGGTCGATTCTCCCAATCGAGGACGTTTGTTTGGTACAGACTGCGAAGATGAGGTCATGTTTGATCCCGAACGCACCGCGGGTGTAACTACCCCGGTGGTCTTTCCTCCGTGATTGACTGCTGGCATGTAGTGGAGAGGTGGATTGGATGGTGTCTTGGAGCGTGGAGGCACAGAACCTGCTCGAGGTGTCTTACTCCGCTTGTTACTGTTCTCCTTATCATGTACGCTAAATCGTTCCATCAAGACCTGCATGATGCTCTCCCCGTGCACAAGGAATACTCGTCCCGTCTCGGTTTCCCAGGCTGGAATAGACACGAGCAGATCTTGCTCGAGCTGAGAGAGCAGGTTAGTTCTTCAACGAATGCGTTTTAGGTGACGCTTACCTTAGGCTTCTCCTTCGTGACACGCTTACGCATCTTCTCCTCGCGAAGCAGTCGACCAGGGTCTCGCGGTCCTCGGCCAAGAAGACGGTTCTGGTCACTAGCTGCTGCTGCAAGTTCTTTCTCATCTTGGCAAATATCGAAATATTTCTTAATGCTAGCAAGCAGAGGCACCTTTAGTCGTCGCTCCTCCTTGAGGCGTCTAATTTCCTCCTCATGGATCGACAAGAGCTCTTCTGTATGCTCATCTAATAATAGTAGTCTGAGTTCCTCCTATCAGAAAACACCTCGGAAAGTACGTACCATCCGCAAATGGTGCAAAATCTGCACGCTCGTCTTTGCCTACCATCAGCTCGTCCCACAGTTCGACGATCTCCGCCCTTGCATTCTCAATGAAGGCACCCATACGCTCTCGTTTGAGCTCCAGCATGCGCTCAAGCTCCTCTTCATATGCTTTCACCGTACCCTCCGTACTACCTCTCTGTGCCTCCACAAACGCATCCATGTCTTCATCAGAAATACCAAGTCTCCGCCAGAGCGCCTCTAATTGGTCATACATAGCTTGAATGTGAGCCTCTCGTCGCCGTTTGATGTCCTCTAGCTCCGCGCGCGTAGCCTCGGCCCATGCAATGAGGCCAAGGGTGGGATCAACACCCTCCAGTCCGACATTTACATTCATATCCTGTAAATTTTCGTTGGAGGCTTCCTCCATACGTGCCACAAATTGAGCGAATATGCGTTGATATTCCACATCGGATATGTCTTCCGGTTCCTCTGGAGCTGTCATCAACAGGAATGGAAGAGACTGCTTTGCACGTGCTGTGGGAGTGGGAGAGGACATCGGAACCGACGAAGCAATCGATATATTCAAGAATGGATCGGAGGAATTTGACAAAGTGGTCCTGTCACCACACGACGATATCGAGCGGGGATGCGAAGATAAACCAAGAACGGATGACAACGGAAGGCCGTCGAGGGCTGGTGGTGACATACCCAACTCTGTGTACAACCAATCTATCTGCACCATGCTCGCGGACAGTTGTGAGAGTCGTTTGGTCTGTTGAGATATAAGCGCACAGATATGCCCCAGTAGTCCACAAAACTCACGACTTCGCCCTTCCCTCTCACTAGCTCCTTCTCGAGCCTAGAGAAGCGTTCAGGGGTCACGTCACGGCATGCTGTTGGGTCGAGGTCATCTTCGTCTATGGCTGGAGTTGGCTCAAGTATGTCTTCTTGATAAAAATCACGTCCCAGTGTATGCGAGAGTGCTACGATTCTATTCGTGAGTGTCAATAATTGTTCGAGTTTTGTATGATACAACTGTGGAAGACCCAAAGCTGGTATGAGCGTTGTTGTAGACACGCAATTGAGTATCAGAGAGTTAATACAAAATGAAAGATGCGTGGAAATCCTTGTCTCAGAATGCCACAGCTTAAGCCACGCTGCTAGAGCCGCGCCCAAGTGAGCATCGTAATAGTACGCTTTAATCACTATCCATGCTCAACCCGAAATGACGCCAGTCCGATGCAACCATGCACAGAACTGAGATGAATCCTCACCTGTCTCAGTTTCTCCTGGTATTCTGTAGCATTCTGAAAGCGTCTGGGCAACACTTGTTCCTTCCTAATCTCGCCGACGCTGGTCCCCGTAGCCTTCACATGGCCGCCTAGTGCCTTGCCATACTTCAAGCACTCGTCCTCGACACTATCACACCTATGCATCCATTCTGAGACCTGCTTTTGTCGCAATTCGATCTGATTCTCGATGCATTGCGCTAGCTGTTGCTGTAGTGCAGAGAGCTCGTCTGCGAGGGCTGTAGGTGGCAGGCCAAGTTGAATATGTAGGGTAGGAAGAAGCTGTGTCTGAGATTGCAGACGAGTGTGCAGAGAATTGAGCAAAGAAGTGATCGTGGTCGACATCTCGTAGGTCGTTAAGATCGATGTTGACGACAAGTTAGCCTTCCGTCTAACGCGAACCGCGTTTTAGTCACGTGTGCGCGTCCTCGTTCGCCCTCCGAAATTGAGTCTCAGTCAGTCAGACTAAGCCTCCAAACTCCAAAGCATACTTAGCACGGACATCGACTCGAAAGTAGTGAAACTGCGCTGGAGGCTGACCTTCGTCTGGTATCCAGCCGTGTCGAAGAAATACGCATTTGGGTACGAGACCAGTGTGCCTCCGGACATAAATAATGCCCCAATTGAACCCTGTTAGACCGCATAACCACTAATTAGCTATAAGACGACCGTCCACCTTACACTCCAGAGGTCGTCATCTAAGGACTGGCTACCACCAACTTTTAGCTACATACTGCTTAAGTATCGGACAGAGACTCGATGTGTATTTTCGTATTGCATGTCTAGAGGACTGCAACGATTCATCAACCGTCTTAAAGACTCAGCCGCCACGAGAATATCTTGAGTTCTTGAGCCCGAACTTGAAAGACTCAGAGGTTTCCCGGTGTGCAGGCCCACTGCTAGTTCAATGTGCAGTATAATTAGATCCAGCCTAAAGCAAAATTTCAGTCTCTGAACAAGCCCATAGTCATTCACTTTGTTCAGAATTTGGACAATCTCATGCGCGAACACGTGCACCGGCAATATATTCAAGCACTCATTTACTTACGGACACCAGTTCTTTGGGTTGCGGACAAAGCAACAACACCCTGAGTGGTGATCGGACACCAGTGGATTCAAGTTATCCATGCTACATGCAATGCCACAGCAATGAGGAGGAATGATCATCCAAAGCAAGAAAATAGCATGACATCGTTGTTCGAGGACATTCGTGGCTCGGGTTTGGGGTGTGCCAGCTTTGTGAGATATACACTAAGTGCAAAGTTCGCCGCCACCGTGCACCGCTGGCATGGGCGGTGGGGACAGCCTCGCGGCGCTCGCCAATTAGAGCGGAAACGTGCGCGCTTCCCCGAAAAGGTTATAACCCGTCATCCTCACTTGTGTTTCTTCAACAACCCGCACTCATCCTACCTTTGCTTTGCTTTGCTTTGAATAGCCTATCATACACACACGGACGCTCTTCTATACGTAGACATAATGCCTTTCACACCTGATTCAGAGCTCGACCTGTTGTTCCCGGCCGAACATATACCAGACGAGACGAAGAAGCAGCTGCCTTCAGACCTCCATGTTCGTATCTTATGCATGTAGACACCTCATGTGCATGCTGACACTGAGATACAGCTCCGACCTCTCGCATCAACGGATTACAAGCGCGGCCATCTTTCCGTCCTTTCCGTTCTAACTGTTGTCACTGACCCGGGCGAGGGCGCTTGGGTCACGCAATTCAACGCTATCAGGGCGGCGTCCCGTACCTACTATTCTATTGTAATTGTGGACAAGCCCTCGGATCGGATTGTCGCCGTTGGTACGGTGTTCATTGAACGCAAATTTCTCCGCGGCCTTGGAAGCGTCGGTCACATTGAAGATATAGCCGTCGACAAGTCACAACAGGGGAAGAAGCTTGGTTTGAGGATCATCCAAGCCCTCACAGGCATCAGTGAGAACAGTGGTTGCTACAAGACCATTCTTAACTGCAGTGACAACAATATACGCAGGTGTCTGTGGTTGCGTCTTTGGTTTATGTGCTCATGTATTTCTTCCAGCGTTTTATCAGAAGTGTGGTTTCGAGCGGAAGGAAAATGAGATGGTGTGTCTAGATCTCGTTTACTCTGGTATTTACTCACACAAGCATCTGACTCACGCAGACGAGATATGCGCCAGACCGTTCTCGCTCGCCGAGGTTGTAATTGCTAGCGCATGAATCTAATCACAGATCAACGATACGGACGACTAGTCTAAATTTCTTCATTCCTTTGGACATGAGCATACTCTTACATACTGTAACCACTTTTTTATACCGACTGCGGGAGTATTTACATCGATCATTTGCGCATGGACGACACTGTTGCAGTTTATATAGCCACACTGATTTTTTATTGCGATGACTCGAGATTGAAGATATATGGCTGCCAGTGCCGGCGGAGCTGAGACGATAGCGACCGTGAGACTGGAACGCTTGAGCAACTGATACTAATGTGAATATGATTGTCGCTGGTCCTGCAGCACGCCATCCTTGGTCTCGTACCCAAACGTGTCGAAGACACGTTTGGGTACGAGACCAGCCATCCTCTGACCTTGGGACAAGCCTTGGGTCACTTCGACTATAGATAGACTCTCATCGCCTCTCAATTTTTCGTGCCAACCACTCTGAGTGCAGGTGGTGAGATTTATCGGTGGTCCGCTTTGACATAGCCGAGCGAAGCGTAGTCCCCTGACGGATGGACGCGTTTGACGGATGCTATATCGCCTCCCTGGCACTGGTTTAGGCTTCTGCGCTTGACTGCATCATGATATATACGTGTTCCTGAGCAGCTAGAACGGGGCCTAAGGTGGCTTTTCTATTGAAGACTGTCTATGTGTGGTAAGTCTGTGCCTCGGGAGATGCTGATGCTTTGGTCAAAACTGGCAGGGATATGCATAGGATTCGCGTTGTGCCATTCGAGAAAGAAGAGTAGGAGACGAACACTGATGCATGGTCGCCGTGTGGATGCTGTGGCGTGTTATTGTTGTTGGGCAACGCTGGGAGCATCTGTCATTGGCATGGCTTCGAAGGTTCACATAAGGTTGGACGATGTCCAAAATGGACACTTCGCTTTCACAAGTCTGTGCTACGCAGACCCCGTCTAACCCTACTCTCAACTGGGTCTATGAGGAGCGACTGGAATGTCGGCCGTGGCGCAGGAATCGGGTACAAGTCGTTGGGAGCCTGAGTGAGTCTGAGCCTTCGTATCCTCGTTCGTACTGACCCGTCCTCTCATACAAACAGTTTTATGTTCACTTGTTGCCAACTCGTGGCGTCAGGTATGTGCTATATTTTCCACCCCGCTGCCGTGCTCACACATCTATCAAATAGCACTAGTAATTTACGAATACTTCCTCACACTTGGCCAGGAAATCCAGCATATTTGGAACTGTCGGGCGACAGGTGTAACCATCTTATTCTTCCTGAATCGGATCGTGATGTTGGGTATGGGATTAACTGCTGTACTGATCGTCGCGCCTTGGGAAACTGGAGTGGTAAGTCTCCTGAGTGTATATTACGGCTGATTGTAATAAAAATGATGATTCTTTATGCAGGGGTAACGTGCTTTCACATTCACACCAAAGCTACCATCCTTATGCTTGGCTTCAGCTGCATGATAGTCAACTGGTTGAATATCGGTTGCGCGGTCACAATTTTGCTATTGTGGGCAGGTATATATTCGTTCCTTCACGACCCTCGGCTCTGTTTACGATCTTCGATAATAGTTGTCTCGACTCTTCGTGTCTACGCTGTCAGTAATCGCGATTGGCGACTTGCCATAGGGACCTTGATATTGGGCCTAGTACCTGTTATGATTAATATCGTATGTTTTTCTTTTTCTTGTGTAGTCACAGGGACTTAACTCACGCTTCCATTAGGTTTACAATGCAAAGACATCGTTTGCACCACCACCAGATTTATCTTCTCACTTTTGCCAAGTTATTACTAAGCTTTCTCCGAGTGTGAGCAACTTGTGAGTGTGTTCGTCTACTCTCTTGGCCATTGATTGATCGCGTTCGTAATATTCAGATGTAATTTACTTGTTGGACATTTTCCGATTTGTGACTAACATTTTCGCGTAGTCGTGATTCTGATCCGCGTCTGCCTCATTGTATCTGACACGATAGTCATTGTCGTCACATGGTACAACACGTATGAATCCTATCAGCACCCGACGAGGACGGCCACAAGAACATCGCTTTCACGACAGTTATTCCGGGATGGTATGCTTCATATTCGAATTTTATCTCGCAGGGTGCTTATACTTTTACGTGCAGGTACCTTATATTTTGTGTACGTCCGTATCTGCACAGTCCTGCGCCATATATTACATCTTTCGTTATTAGGCTTCTACTCGGCATGAATGTCACACAACTAATTCTTGTCCTTTCGGGCGTAGGTCTTCATGAGGTCTTTGGACTATCCTCTGGCTAATGACCTCCATTAGATTTTTATGGCTTTTGGTACCTTCATCACCATGTTCGTCTGTAGTATTGCATTATGCTATGTTTCAGAGATTGACATCCGCCTGCAGGATGATGTCGGTTCTCATCTCAAGATTCATTCTCGACATCCGCCAAATACGCATCGACAGCCCCGAAGCTCCGGAATCCATCGGCACGATCTTCTCTTGTGAAGAACGACCACATCTTGTCCAATCTCGCCTGTCGTCTATGATTTTCCGCCCCAGCTCCATACCGTGCGAAGATGACCACGCCCCATGGATGCTGGACACATAGGCAAATGCGACAAAAATCATTTTCTACCCCCATAGCATTCCGCGCTCATGGTTGGCATGGTTGAGGAGCCATGGAACACCAGGTTCCTGGCCTTGCGCTATTGCGAGTTCGATCGAGGTGCTGCCGCGCCAGATGCCAGCCATGCAATTATAGCAAATACTCTAATTATCCTGATAAGTATATAGCCATTTCATATATTCCCGATCATTTCGTTGCTATGCTATGTATCCTTATTGGACGTGCTTTCGGACAGTTCAATGGACTCACTCCAATGTATCTTGTATAATTTGTGTCGTGGCGTCGCGATTAGGTACCATTGTATTGAACCCCCCATCCCCCGAGCCGCTCCTCACAATGGGTCTGAAGAGAGAACTGCAAAACCCAAGGTCATCATTATAGATATCCGAAGAAATGCTATACAGTATCAGGTTGTATGTATACACTCCGAACTGCAGCTATGCGGATCATAATTACTCATTCAATGAATTAGTAGTCGGGATAGAGGAGGTGAAAGCTCACATAGGAATCATATACATGCGGAGTCTGTGCTGTTTTGTCGCAACTGTCAGCAATTGAGATGCATATGTGTTCCGATCATGGGCTGTGCTACTGGGTGTAAGTTCCGATCCACGGAACTGGTGCTATCATTTGTCTCTTACAGGTTATATAAGTTGAATTGTGGGTTGGAGCGCGGTTGGGCGACTGGGATTCGTATTGTCTTGTCTTGGATCTGACCCTACCTGCTCAGTGCTCTTTGGCGATAGGCGTCTCAATGGCGGCGATTCTATTCGCATTTATGCGATCTTAGTGAGTCCTATCAGTGTCCGAGTCTCGGTTCTGCAATGGGGATTCAATACTTGCGCTTTAGCTTTGGCATGAGATACTGCCAAATGGCAATATCAGGTATTTTCAATCATACGTCTAATTGCATTGCATTTCTAATTATTACTAGCCCTCGTATTCTATGATTACTTCCTGACTTTAGCTCAAGAAATTCGTACGATGTGGGGATGCAGATCAGCGAGTGTACTTTCCTTATTTTTCCTGAATCGACTTGTTATGCTTGCGTTGGGTCTCTCAAATATGCTGCCAGTCTTCACTTGGACCACCGTTATCGTGCGTGCGCGTTCTGTTTCAACGCTCATCCATTTTCTAACTCGTAGTCACTGTAGAGGTATGTGCCTGCACGAGCTCATCGAATACCATTATTTGATCCGTATTTTCAGTTGCAATGCTATGGATATATTCTTTTTTACATCGCTGGTAGTTTCATATATTGTTTTTGCAGGTAATCAATATCTCATCCACTGTTGCACACACTGACCGGTTCGCAGCCATCTCGGCTTTGCGAGTGTTTGCCCTAAGTAATCGTCGCTGGGAGCTCTGTGGGCTGACTTTCTTCCTGGGTTTCGTCCCTGCGATCGCGAATATAGTGAGTCTATTTATCTTAGTATTTGTTCATGTGTAACCTGGGTGGCATGAAGTATAATTATGCAGAATCCAACTATAGTACGGTCGTTCTCCATTCCGTTGTAATATGTGCAATAGAAACAAAGTTATCCGAGGCAAATGTGCAAAGGTGACTGCCACATTAAGTTCAAGAGTATGTTACAATCATCTAACATTTTGTGAACAGAGGTGTCGTACTGCTAGTTTTTCGTGATCTCGGCGACTACTATTAACATTCAATGGCCTCAAAAAGCTGCAATTATTACGCATTGTTGTCTCATTGCCTGCGATCTCATTGTGGTCCTCGTGACATGGCATTCTGTATATTTTGTCAAACATCGCTCAAATAGATCTGCGACATCTGACACGCTCTCCTGGATGCTACTGAAAAATGGTATATCCAATTTTCTCCCTGAAGACAAAGGCTGATTTATTTTTTGTTGTATTTTAAGGAACGATTTACTTCCTGTGCGCAGACACTCTACATATTGACAAGAGCCTCGCTGACTTGTTTGAAGACTACTCCTTGTGGTAAATGTGTCGCACATGATTGTCATGTGTGTCTCGGTGCGCTCGAATGCACCCTATGATATTACAGATGGTTGTTGATGACGCCACTTGACAGGACGCGAAGTATGATGAAGTCGCTGTGTTTCTTGCACCGTCGGTACCCATTCTCTTTCATTCTCGTGCATGATTAGAAATCAGTTTTTATAGGATATCCTCAATCATCACATCTCGATTCATGTTGGAACTCCGGGACATCCGCTCCACCAGAGCGGGGTCTCAATGGCCGTCCTGCGACGAGTCGCGGCCGAGTCAATATGCATTGTCCCACTTATCCTCAGTTCGATTCGAAAACGAATTGCACGATGAGGACCAACCTCGTGCACAACTCGAAATCAGCACCATACCTTGATATGTTTCGCATCACGGCGAAAGTGGAACAACAACTACCATAGTAAATGAAATGCAGGGGACGATGGAGAACGTCGAAAATCCACTGCATCGGGACCGAGATCTATCTCATGGGTATAGGGAAGAGCATACATGATAAATGTGGATGAGAGGCAGCATTGTCTGACTCAGATGATGAAGGTATCTTGATTCACACTAAATAGGATAGGATATTATTGAAGTATTAATATGATGATTACCTTGCCTTTTTTTGATGCCCTTTATTGTCTGTGAGGGCCGAGCCCTATGTAAACAGTATGTACATCGTGTATGTACATTCTGGCGTAGCAATTTATACTCGAAACTGAGGCATTGGAGGCACAGCCTATGGTAGTAGGGCGTGACAGGGCATCGCTGGTGTACTGTAAGAGACCGGGTGGGTTAGTAAAGGTGGGAATGGCACAATATGCTATCATTGCACCAGTAATGTAACTTTTTAAGTATCTGGGCTCCCTATAGTGCAAATCTTATCAGAATGTTTCAAAGTTTTCGCCAGTCAATGCAGAATGTTCGAAAGTACACACATGAATTTCGTAGGCTTAGTATGTCGAGAGAAAAGCAATACCGAGAGCAAAACAAAATCGCAACAGTAGTGCAACTTTTTCTCCGAGGAACGTCACGTCAACCGTCACAATGCTGCGCATGCCGTTTTCTTTGTCTGCCCAGCGTTCAGTGGCTGGACCGCGAAGCTATGCGAAGTACGCCACTACTACCATCAGCTGAGTCAAGATTCACGATGCCGATTGTGGCTGAATGTCACAGATTTGAGCCGCTATCGTTCGACACAGGATTCAAGAGGGGTTCGTTGTGCAGATGATTCCGGAGAAATTAGAATAAGTGTGTGTATGTTCTTCACATGGCCATGGTGTGTTATATTGTTGATTGGACATGGTGATCACCTACCCAAGGCCACTCTTGATTGAGATGTAGTCCTCAAAACACAGTTGCAAGGCATTCAAGTCGCTCTCACATTTTTCATACAAAATCTACACAGTAGTGATCATACTTGTATTTTGTATCATACATGATTTATTGGTATTTTTAGAGGGGGAGGAGCAGCTGTAAGTTCAGTAATTGCACTACTGTTGCGATTACATTACTGGTGCAATGATAGTATACGTAGGAAGAGAAGGGACGACTACCGGGTCTGGCGCGGCGGACTCGGAAGCGTTGGCCTCGGCCATATTACCCTGCTTGACAAGGTCTCTCTCAGGTCGACAATGTGATTCACTTTTCGACTGGCCGGATCTTTCCGGTATTGTTTGTTGTTTGTTCTAGTGGCGTGTCGTTCGATAAGCGCCCGCGTCATCCGAGAGCTAGCACCAGGAGGCACCCGCTCTCGAGCCCCTGTGCACCGTACATATATCCTCATACATTCTCTGTTTATGGAAGGCTATACATGCCAGTATACTGTATATCTATGTCTTGCCCATCTTCTCCCACCAGTTCTTTGTACTTGTGTTGAGCAATTCTAATCTATTGTCCTCCACTAATTGAGTCATGCTATGAAGGGCCATGAATAGCTTGTCATCAAAATTGCGCAACAGCTGAATCATCGAGCGACCAGAGCTACGTGACAACATGACATAAAGACTGAACAGGGAGAGGTTTGAGGGTGATGGTGGTGTGGCAATATCCACTACAACATATGGAATTTTTTGCCCTCAGGGAGAGCAATATATAATCCATAAATGCGTACATTGTGATCATAGTGACTGACAGCCATACCACTCTGCTAATTATTAATTATCACCATACGATATACTCCCTCGTAAAGCGCCCTCCACAGACACCCTAACTCAATTCCTACTATCTAGTGCTAGACTGTTAATATAATGTGTGCGGTAAATAGATGGACATGAAAGACAAACTCTTCCGCGACGCAGTGCGATCTAGTGCGATCCAAGAATATGGTTTCAGCCGGTGCAAGACGGCGCTTCCCCAAGTACATAGTGAACGCAGGAGAAACTATTGCTACATAATCTTATTATCTGCCGTTTGAGTGTATTTAATAGTAATTGCGGAGCCCTATGCGTTATGTCACACATGTGATGCGTCGCGTCTGTGACACGATCAAGACCGCGTTTGAAGTCGAGTTGAAGCTATTCTACTCTTACTTCTATCCTCATCAACTCAGCGATGGCTCGAGGAGGTCCTACTCCTCGCAGAGGTCGCGCAAATTCGCGTTTTGGATATCGAGGCAATAGTTCTTTCCGCGGTGGACGAGGGAGAGGAAGGGGCAGAGGCCGCGGTGGCGCACCAGCAGAATCTCAGCCTCAGCGCGAAGATGATGGGACCCAGCTGGCGGAGCGGTTTGAACAGGTCGCCTTGAACGACGAAGTCGATGAGAAGCTTGGATTTTCCCGAGTGTCTGAGGGCCCCAGGAGAGAAGGGTGGTTGGTCAACATGCATCCGGTGGGTTATTTCTTCGGACCGTGGCGTCGCCATCCAACGTCTCGTGCAGACACTGGTTAAGGATCCCGATTGGCCATCAGGCAAGGCTGGAGTGGACTTCTACTTCATTCAAGACGACGGAGGCATGTTCAAGAGCACGCTGCAGTATGAGCCATACTTCTACATCGCCTGCAAGGTGCGTCTACACCTATCTATCTATCTCGGTGTTGCCTAACGGTAGCCTTCACTACTAGAGTGGCATGGAGACCATTATCGAGGAATGGCTCCTAAAGAAGTACGAAGCACATATTTATCGCATCACGCGGGAACGTAAAGAGGACTTGGAACTACCCAACCATCTTCTTGGCCACAGACGACTGTACCTGCAGCTACACTTTCGGAACGTCTCAGATCTCCTGGCTGTTCGACGCGATATCATGCCACTTGCCCTTGCGAACAGCGCGAAATTGGACGCAGTTGACGCGTATGCAGAGGTGGTCAACTCCACTGCTAGCGCAAGCTTAAACATTGAGATGGAAGGCGCGTGGCGCGCTGAGGCAGAAGCAGGACCGAGTACCACCTGGGGGGGTGGTGGGCGGGACAAAGACCCGCGTGAGGGTATCATCGACATTCGCGAGTTCGATGTGCCGTACTATTTGCGTGTTGCAATGGACAACGAGATCCGTGTTGGTCTCTGGTACTCGGTCACATTTACGGCAGGTCAGCCGGCCTTCAAACAGCTTGTGGAGCGTGTCAAGCGTGCTGACCCTGTTGTGATGGCGTACGATATTGAGACGACGAAGGCTCCGCTGAAATTCCCGGACCAGGCGGTCGACCAAGTCATGATGATTTCGTACATGGTTGACGGACAGGGCTTTTTGATCACGAATCGCGACATTGTTAGCGAGGACATTGAGGATTTCGAGTATACGCCGAAGGAGGGCTACGAAGGGCCGTTCACGATATTCAACGAGCCTGATGAGGTATGTTGCGTAGTTCCTGCTCCCTCGGAATTGTACTCAGCAATAATGCCAGTCATCCACGATTCGGAGATTCTTCTCCCACGTACAGGATGTCAAGCCTACGGTCATGGCTACTTTTAACGGGGATTTCTTTGATTTCCCGTTCTTATGTGCTCGTGCAAAGATTCATGGGATCGATATGTTTATCGAAATGGGCTTCGCTAAAGACTCCGAGGACGAGTTCAAGAGTCGCACTTGCGTGCATATGGATTGCTTCCGGTGGGTCAAACGCGACTCGTATCTTCCACAAGGTAGTCAAGGTCTCAAAGCCGTTACGACCGCTAAGCTGGGGTATGACCCTATAGAGTTGGACCCGGAGCTAATGACGCCGTGCGCACTTCTATTTTCCCCAGTTTTGTGTCCTACTTATGCTGTCCTTTTCCAGCTACGCCATGGAACAACCTCAAACACTCGCGCAGTATTCAGTGTCAGATGCGGTGGCGACGTATTACTTGTACATGAAATATGTGCATCCATTTATCTTCTCGCTGTGCAATATCATTCCGCTCAATCCAGATGAGGTACTTCGGAAAGGTAGTGGCACGTTATGCGAGACTTTGCTCATGGTGAGCTGTTGTATGATCTGCTGGAGGATGCGGCTCAGTCATTCACAGGTCGAAGCATATCGAGGGGAAATTATCATGCCCAACAGGCATGAAGAAGAACACGGGAACATGTGGGAGGGTCATCTCCTTGCTTCTGAGACGTACGTAGGTGGCCACGTCGAGGCACTGGAGGCTGGGGTCTTCCGCAGTGATATTCCTACTCACTTCAGGATCGAGCCATCTGCGGTTCAGAAGGTAGACGCCATTTGACTGCTATCCAGCCAATGCTTATCATTCTCTCCCCAAAAGTTGATTGATGAACTAGATGCGGCGCTGACCTTCTGCATCATGGAGGAATCCAAGTCATCTCTCGAAAGCGTAACGAACTACAACGAGGTGAAAGCCCAGATTCAAGCTGCGCTCGAGGAGATGCGAGACAATCCTCAGCGCATGGATAAACCACTTATCTACCACTTGGATGTTGCTGCCATGTATCCAAATATCATGCTGTCAAACCGACTGCAGCCGGACTCCGTGGTCGACGAATCAGTTTGTGCAGTATGCGACTATAATCGACCCGGAAAAACTTGCGATCGTCGTATGACATGGGCATGGAGAGGTGAATTTTTCCCTGCGCGGCGGGACGAATTCAACATGATCAAGCACGCGCTGAACCAGGAGACATTCCCTCCGAAGCGACCTGGTGGTTCTCAGCGCCAGTTCATCGACCTCACTGATGCCGAGCAGACGGCCTTGCTCCATAAACGACTGGGTGACTATTCGCGCAAAGTATACAAAAAGATCAAGGATACGAAGGTCGAGAACAGAGAGGCCATTATCTGTCAAAGGGAGAATCCATTCTATATTGACACAGTGCGACGATTCCGTGACCGACGGTACGAATACAAGGGTCATCACAAGACTTGGAAGAAGAACCTCGACACAGTGCTCTCTGAGCAACGTTCGATCGCGGAGGTAGACGAGGCGAGGAAGATGATTGTGTTGTACGACTCTCTTCAGCTGGCTCACAAGTGTATTCTGAACTCGTTTTACGGCTACGTCATGCGCAAGGGGGCTCGCTGGCATTCGATGGAGATGGCAGGTATTACTTGCTTGACTGGTGCCACCATCATTCAAATGGCTCGACAGCTGGTGGAGCAGATTGGTCGACCTCTGGAATTGGATACAGATGGTATCTGGTGCATGCTGCCTGGGATCTTCCCAGAGAACTTCAGGTTCAAGCTCACCAATGGAAAAACGATTGGCTTCTCCTACCCCTGTACCATGCTCAATCACCTCGTTCACGCACAATTCACGAACCATCAATATCATGACCTTGACCTGGAAACTGGTGAATATCGCATTCATAGCGAAAACTCGATCTTCTTCGAGTTGGATGGTCCTTATAAAGCGATGATCTTGCCTTCATCGAAAGAGGAGGATAAGTTGCTGAAGAAGCGGTATGCAGTCTTCAATGACGATGGCTCCTTGGCCGAATTGAAAGGCTTTGAAGTCAAGCGACGCGGCGAGCTGCAGCTTATTAAGATATTTCAGTCTCAGATTTTCGAACGCTTTCTGCTTGGTGGTACGACAGAAGAGTGCTATGCGGCCGTTGCTCAGGTTGCAGATAGATGGCTAGATGTCTTGTTCAGCAAAGCGGAAAGCCTTGGAGATGACGAGCTGATTGAGCTTATTGCCGAGAACAGGAGCATGTCGAAGACCTTAGCCGAATATGCCGGACAGAAATCGACGTCTATCAGTACCGCAAAACGTCTCGCAGAGTTTTTGGGCGACCAGATGGTTAAGGACAAGGGCCTTGCGTGCAAGTTCATCATTTCTAAACAGCCAGCGGGTGCACCGGTCACAGAACGGGCGGTACCAGTCGCTATATTTTCTGCCGAAGATAGCGTTAAGCGCACTTACCTGCGCAAATGGCTGAAGAATAATGGTCTAACGGAGTTTGATATCCGGTCCATTCTCGACTGGGAATACTACATCGAGCGATTAGGGTCCGTTATCCAGAAATTGATTACCATTCCTGCAGCGATGCAGAAGGTAGCTAATCCAGTTCCTCGAATCAAGCATCCAGACTGGTTGCATCGCCGCGTCGTCGCTCTAGATGACAAGTTCCATCAGCACAAGGTCACGGACTTCTTCCGACTCAAGGTGCCAGGGGAGCAGGAAACTCATGATCTCGAGGACTTTGGAACTCCTACGCGCGATAGTGATCGGCCACGCCTGGCAATCGTCAATCGAAAACCCGCGCCTCGACAAGACACTCCGGAACCAGCTGAGGAGCAGCCTTCCTATCAGCTCGCTGTCACAGATTATAGAAGATACCTCAAGATCAAGAGGCCCATCTGGAGACGTTGTCGGAATGGCGAGACCGACGCCGTTCTGCCCTCAATGTTCAAGGCTACGACGAATTTGAATAGTCGTTGGGACGTCGTGCAAATCCGTCCTGCTAGAGGACCAGGTCACTTTACCTTATGGCTTGCCGTAGGGGGTAATCTTGTCTCCCTGCCCCTTCGCATACCTCGGGAATTCTACTTGCATCGCCGTACACCGGCAAAGTCGGACCAATTTCGAAAAGACATATACACATGGGAGAAGGTGGTCCGTGGTCTGCCAAGAGACAGGCCATGTGTGAATCTGTACAAGCTGAGTGTCCGTGAAGACGTATACATACAGGCGCAGGAGCACTTCCTTGACTTAACCAGTGACCCTAGTGTGGATGGTGTGTTTGAACAGCAAGTGAGTGTTAATTGTAAAGCCGCTGCCGCACAGATGACGTATTTTTGGCGTGTAGATACCTCTTGTTATGCGAGCCGTATTGAGGTTGGGCAAGACATGTGTGTCTGGGGTCAGCGGATTGACACTTAACAAGGCTGAAGCGGTGGGGTTCGATCTAGACCAGCTTGGCCGAGCAAGCTCTCAATCATCCAAACGTAAATATTTGGATGAAGGTAGGACGGGGAAGTATATCCTCCTCTACCATGCTTGCTCCAATACGGCTCCTGTCCATGTCTTCGCCCTGTTCGTGCCCAATAGCCCTGTCAGGCTCCACATAGTTGATCCCGCCACACGGCGCCAAGGAATTCCTCGACTATCCGAGTTGTATACAGAGCTTCTGAACAAACGTCGACAATCCGCCAGGTCGAACGTCTCGTATACGTACCCGTCAACATGCGATTTCACTAGCACCTATCACGGCAGTGATTTGATGGCCCTCAAAGCAATCTCTCGCGAGCTTGGACTCCTGGAATCCCAAGCATATATGCTAGTGATCTCGTCTAGCAAGGAGCAGACATACTTTGATACACACATACCAAGACTCTCTAAATTTCCTGTGTTATCAATGCCAAAGGCTAAAGTTCCTCACACTTTAGATGTCTTCCCGTGGCAGACAGGCGTCGCGCAGAAGCTCGTGGGCCGTTATCTGACCATGGGCACATGGCTTGATAGATCAATTTCTCTAGCCAACTACTACGACGTGCCTCTCGGCCATATTGATGGTGACCAACCACTGCTCCTTTCCGACATCGAATTTGCTCGCAAACTGGCGGAGCATGATATCGTTTTGTGGTGGTCGCCAGGGGATCGTCCAGACTTGGGTGGGATGGAGAATGATGCTAGACCATCTGAAGAATTGTCTAAGACTGAATTCTGCTCTCCGGGATGTTATTCAAATGTTTGTCTGGAGATTACGGTTCGTAATTTGGCGGTCAATGCCGTCCTGCATTCGGTCATCGTCAACGAGTTAGAAGGTAGTGGAGGAGCCACTGCTTTTGACTCTTCCCATACACTAGACGAGTACGCGGGAGGGGACTCGCCACGAGATCTAACTTTCGGTGACGCTAGTGTCTCACCGCAGACCTTCTCGATTCTCAAGTCTATGGTGAAGACATGGCTATTGGACAAGATTCAGGGCAATTTCGAAAGTCCCGCATCCGTCGCTATCGATCATTTTTGGCGGTGGATAAGCTCGAATGCGTCCCATATGTACGATCCGAGCCTTCACCGCTTTGTTCATGGGCTCATGCGCAAGACATTCATCCAAATGCTTGCTGAGTTCAAACGCTTGGGATCTCATGTCGTATACGCTGATCTCAGCAAAATTCTCTTGGTCACTTCCAAACCCCCTGGTACGGCGCATGCGTATGCGACATACATCACAACCGCAGTAACGTCTCACGAGCTTTTCCAGCACGTTTACCTATACACAGCACGTTTTTATGATTTCCTCCTTTTCATGGATCAGGCAAATATTGCGGGAGTTGTTTGCGAAGATCCCTTGGCCGTGAACCCTCCCGAGGCCTTGTCCGTGGAGATGCGATGGAATATCGAGACATTTTTGCCGCCTGCGATTCAGCGCGATTTCAAAAACGTGATTCGCTTCTTCCTTGTGGAATTCTACAGAACGTGTCAAAAGAGCTCGGGCACAGCTCGCGCTCCTCTGAGGGTCCTGCAGAATGGCGCGCCAGATGCAACCCAAAAGGGCATAGCGAAGACGCAAGAAATGGATGCCTGTCGTGATTTCATCGCTCGTCGTCTCACAAGGAAACTTCTCAAAACCGTTGGCGATATTCAAGAACGATATCGCATGGCTGTCACCGATGAGGAGGCGCTCGTTTACTGGGAATTTCCTTTACTTCCTGGGTCGCACTTGCACCTCACGAATCCCCTCCTCGAGTTCGTCAAATTCGCCTGTGTAATCTTCAGCCTGGCGAAGGACTATCAGCTCGAGGTCGGTCTCTTGAAGCGCAACCTATTAGAGCTTGTTGGCGTGCGAGAGTTCGCGAGCGAGGCGACGTTCCATAACCCATGCGAGCCACTCAAGTTGTCAAACGTCCCTTGCTGTCATTGTGATGGGCTGCGCGAGTTCGACTTCTGTCGTGATCCGGAGCTACTTCCGAACAATCTCGAGGTCAATGTGCGCTGGCTTTGCGACAATTGTGGGGGCGAGTACGACCGCACCACGATTGAATTTGCGCTGATTAGTATGGTCTACGACCTGGAGCGTCGGTTTGCACAACAGGATCTGCGCTGCTCAAAGTGCAAGCGGCTCCAGTCGGACAACGTTTCCCGCCATTGTCAATGCTCCGGGAGTTATCAGCTGAACATGAGTAAGGTCGATGTGCGGCGAAAGTTGCGCACCATCGTGAATGTGTCAATCGCGCATAATATGACACGGCTTAGGGTATGTCCATATCTACTGTTTCTAACAATATGCTCTTTTTTGACAGTCTGAATCGTCAGGAATGTGCACAAATGATGCTCGATTCTTGGTAGATATCGCGTACTGTTGTGTGGGCACTTGCTTGTATTTTGCTTTGCTATTCCTTCGCATTCGTATGTGAGCGTGTAAGTTATTGTTTTGTCACTATGTATAGACGAAATGACTTCCTTGTAATATTTTTGTGTACCAATAGACACCGCTCGTCTTGCTCATCCATTCAGTACGTTCCCGAATTTTCCAGCGACATAAACCGCTGCGGAAGGGGCGATGCCCCACTCCTACAATATACTGGCGATAAATGACTCAGCCAATCATGTAGACGTAAGACTTAGTTATCAATATATATATCCACCACCAGGAAGTCATCTGTACATAGTATACAGCGTCCACCTCGCTATCCAAACAAACATACGACTACTAATATAACAGTGCATGTACGGATACTGAGCGACAGCAACTATGACATAGTGACGGGATACGACCAACTGATAGTGCCAATGTTACAACAATGTAGAAGATGAGATATGTACGAAGAATATACATTAACATAAGAGTCGGGGACCAGAACGCACATGCTAACGTTCGATATCGTACTGGGGGATGAAAAAGAGATAAAGATCAGACCAAAGCAATAACAATGGCAAGACGATCAGAACGAGAGAGTACATAGTCTATGGCCTATGCCACAGTCTACAAGGATGTTCAGATCAATCCAAAGGACAAAGTGCGCCATACCACTTATGACTTACAGCGATCAGGCCGCCGCCTCAACCTGCGGTGGAGCTGCTTCGTCCTCTGCTGTCTCCTCAGCTTCGGACTCCTCTGGAATGGTCTCTTGGACTGCCGAGGGTCCCGCAATATTCTCCTTATCGTCGTTACCAATCTTACAAATTCAAGTCAGATTCAAAATCCGGAATAGTCGCCAGATCACTAGCGCACCTTTGAGACTGGCTTTCGGGAGCTCGCTCGAGACGCAGGCTTCTTTGCACCAGTCGTTGAAGGTGGTTTGGCAGATGTACGCGAAGCGGGCTTCACTGAGCCAGCACGGGATATCTTGGAGGCCGGTTTGCTGGAAGTACCCGCCATCTTTGAAGTAGGCTTGCTAGAGGTTCCTGCCACTTTGGAAGCAGGCTTGCTAGAAGTACCCGCAGCCTTAGAAGGAGGCTTAGATGTAACCTTTGATGTCGGTTTGGATGCAATTTTAGATGCCGGCTTAACCTGAAGAGTGATCAATAGTAATCGAGACAAAGATCATCCTAGCGTACTCGTTTTGCCGGTGGCTCTTCCGCAGTATTACCATTAGCCACAACACCCTCTTCGGCCTCTACATCAGAAGCAGTTCGCTTCTTTCCTCTTGTCGACTTCGGCTTGTCCTCAACATCCTGGAGAACTTCAGCCTCCTCCGCAGTCTTAGCCTTCTTGCCCCGCGGTTTAGCGGGAACTTTCTTTACGATTGACTCTGGCTTAGGCTGCTCTTTAATCCGGGTGGAACGGCGCGGCTCAGTGGAGGCGTCGGATGAGGGCGCAGCCTTACGGGGCATGATGGTAAGGAAAGTGAAGGTATGGAAGAGGGAGGGGGAGGATGTGTAGGCGTTCCGTGTTATTTAGACCGGCTTGAACCCTATTCGCGATCAACAAGGTGGCACGTGCAACGCGCATGTCACGGGATGCGCGACGCGGCCAGCGCCGCGGTGCCCTATCGCATCGACCCATCCAACATTCATACCTATGTAGTCCGATCTAACCGATTTTCGAGCCAGCTAGTGGTTCCTCGCCAAGTTCAGTATATTATTCCATGCTGGAGCTCGCTATCACGGAAAGTTTTACAATTGCTGAAATGTCAAGTTCAGCTACAAATGTTTTCGCCGTCAGATAGAACTTCGAGACAACAGGCAATCTCCAAACATACATTGCCTGTTGTCTTGATGCTACATTTAGATGGCGGGACTGCCCCTCTGTTTGCTAGTTGGAGAAGCCTTGATTGTACACTGACAGGTATCCATTGATGTGATTTGTGTCATGTGCATGATGCAGGATACCATGAAGGGCTCCCAAGGCGGAGAATACTAATGCAACATTCACTTGTACACGAAAGACAGCTACATTTTATCCATTTATCCTACTTATGAATATTAGAACCCAGCCTGCGCTGCCTCCCGTTCCGCAAGACTGCCCCGTGGGGCCCACGCCTTGACATGGCTATGGTCTTCCGCAGTGTTCCCAGCATCTGGGTCCGGGGAACCCCAGGCGCCTGCACCAGGCGTTTCAATCAAAAGCCTGTCACCCTTGCCCATCCACACTGTTGCCTTGCCGCCGATGTTGATCTTCCTCGGCTGTAGCGGCTGTGGCGTACCATTCTTACTTTCAGGCAAGTCGCCGTCTTCCTTGCGCGACTGCTTCACCCAAGTGTTTCGGCCAAGCGCTCCCGGCCCTCCGCCTTCGAGACCGTATGGCTGGCGCGTACGTCTCTGCAGAAATCTCAGCATGTGTCTTACAACAGTTGAGAGAATACGAACCTCTGACAGAATCGAGACCTGCAATCCCTGCGTAAATTCGAGCTCCCGGACGACACCGTCTCCGCCCTTCCACTTGCCTTTACCGCCGGAATTCTCCCGGATGCTGAACTGGTGAACTAATACAGGGTAGCGGCGCTCGAGAATCTCGACATCACCGATTCGTGTATTAGTAATATGCGTGTGCACACCCGATGTGCCGTGCCAGCCAGGCCCTGCGCCCGAACCTCCGGCAATCGTCTGCAGTTGAAATCAGAGAGTATGAATAGATGGAAGAAACAGTGCACAGCTACCTCGTAGTATCCCCACCCAATTACGTTGTTCCCATTTTCATCCTTTCCCCCAGCTCCAAACGTCAAGTTACTGAACGAGGTACATTGTCAGTGCAGACATAGCGACTTCACTAGCAACGTACTTTGTGCATCCCTGGCTAGCCGCGCACGCATGGAACGCCTTGAGCACTACGTCCACCAATCGCTGCGAGGTCAACACGTTCCCTCCACAGACCGCCGCCGTGCGAGACGGTGAGAGCAGTGAGCCGTCGGGGATTTTAATCGTGATTGGGACGAGACAGCCCGCATTGAGCGGGATATCCATGTTGAGCATCGCACGCATACAGTATATCACGGCCGAGTGCACAACCGAAACCGGCGCGTTCAGGTTTCCCCGGATCTCACAGCCTGTACCGGCGAAGTCAAAAACTGCAGATCCGTTCTGCTCGTTGATTTGCACGTGTAGTTGAATTGGCGAGCCGTCGTCGAGGTAGTCGATCGCTTCCAGGACGTTCGATCCCGCACGCTTCACGACATCCTTCAGCAGACTGCGCACGGACGCTTCGGCATTGGCGCGGATGTGATACATATATTCCTGGACGGTCTCCAGCCCATAGTCATCCACAACTGTGTCCCCTCAGCAACATTCTGTCATATACCGAAGAGGAAACTCACTAGCGTGTATAAGTTGAATGCCCTTGTGGTTGGCGGCAATTTGCTGCACAAGGAATTAGTCAGTCATGTTTGATTTTACGGGTAATGCCCATACTCATCCTCACCGCTTTGAGGTCGCTCTCGACATCTTTGATATTTCTACAGCCGGAACTACCTGGATACTTCGCCGGCTGGTCGACCATGTAATCCACCAAGCCATCATGGTCATACATTCCTGCGCTGACAATCTTGAAGCTTTCGATGTTCGCGCCTTCTTGGAACAAATTCGTAGATGTTGGAGGCATCGATCCAGGCAAGATACCACCAATGTCAGCATGATGTCCGCGTGACGCAGTGAAGAAGATGATCTCGTTTGTCTTTGTATCGAACACAGGACTGATTATCGTGATGTCTGGTAGGTGACTGTTTCAAAAAAATAATAAGCAAGGGAAGCGGAAGTAGAACCTGATTGTACGCACGAGCCACCAACATAAGGCGAGTTGGTCATGATCACATCTCCGGGCTTGAGGTCGTTGCGGTGCAAGTTCATCTGGTACCTCACTGCACTGCATGAAGGGTACTAGGTAAACGGCCACAATACAATTAGTAGTCAGGTAGACTCACAAACTCATGGAACCCAAGTGAATCGGGATAAACGGCGCGTTAGCGACCAAGTCGCCATCCGGTGCGAACAGGGCACAGGAGAAGTCGAGCCTCTCTTTGATGTTCGTACTGATTGCAGTCTGCTGCAACGAGCGGCCCATCGCCTCCGCGACGCTCATGAAACGATTTGCGAAGAGCGTGAGGAGGATCGGGTCAGCTTTTGCATAGCTGGGCTTCGCGGTCGACATGGTGGGCAAGTAACGAGGGAGACGGACGGCGAATACCGCTATATGTAGATACTGCGCCCCGAATTGCCTCTGCAGCCCTGTCGTTTGCGCGCGTTCCTGTGAACCGATGCTGATGCCGTTTCGAATCTTTCTACTACTTAAGTACACACTAAATTGCTTAGTGAAAGAGATAACACCCGGTATCATGGATTCGCGATAGCAAGATCGCGGGGTAAACTTGAAGCTATGCGATAAGATCTAAAAAGGAGAGATATACACCGGCTTAGAGCTTACAGGAAGCTCAGGATATTGTCGAGCTAAGCACGCCGCAATCGTTTATGTATATTATTCTCAAATTCTGATGAGTAGGCGGATTGAATGTTAGAATGCAAAGCTGCATACAGACGACAATGATTTATGTGGAAAAGATGGACAAACACTCTCCGTGGTAGGCGCCCTGGGGGTGGCGGGCTTCCTTCGTTTCAGCATGCTGCTGATTTTGACATGGTCAGCTTGATAAAGTAAAGGACGGCGACTTTTATTCGTCCAGCCGACTACTCGCAGCCTCAAACATCTGGCTCGATTCAGACCCCAGTCATTTATCCTAAGCTACACTTCTTGGGACCCTGAGAGCGGTCGAAACGACGAGTAAGTAATCGAGTATTGTCATTGATCTGAGACGACTTGCGAATAGTAGAGGAAATTTCGTCATTTGCAGAGCAACAGAAGACTTTCTGAGTGGCAAAGAGGTGGTTCTAATTTTGTCACATCCCGCGCCCATAGCTAGCATCGACCACAATGTCTCAGACATTGGCCTCCATCTTGGACCATCAAAGCTCTCTTGTTCAAGAGGCCGCAGAAGCTCTTCCGCATCAGTTCTCACAATGCACGTATGCTCTGGGATACATTCGTCAAGCAATCTATCTATGTCTCACCTGTCGTCCTCCTCGCGGGATCTGTTCTGCCTGCTCTATTGCCTGCCACACAGACCACGAACAGCTAGAGCTCTTCCCAAAGCGTCATTTCCGTTGTGATTGCCCAACGAAAACGCTTCCTCATACGTGCACGTTACACTCTACGCTAGAAGAAGAGAACACGGAAAACGCATATGGACCGAACTTCATTGGTGTATTTTGCCGCTGTGGAAGGCAGTACGACGCTCGGAAGGAGCGCGAGACGATGATACAGTGTTTAGCCTGTGAAGTGCGCCTGTCCAATTTGTGCATGCCATGTACTGAATATACGCGCTAGGATTGGTTCCATGAGTCATGTCTGAATCTACGCGAGCGGCCCATATCACCCGAGTCGACACCTGAGCCTTCTCCAAGAGAAGGCGAAATTCCATCCGGCGCTGACGACAATGCGTCTGACACATCCTCTTCTGGCTTACCGCCCCCTCTTATTCGTGCCATCGACTACGACTGTCTCATTTGCAGCGCATGTGTGCGCAAAAACCAAACCTTGTGCCGTTACGCGGGCACACCGGGGGCCCTCATGGTCGTCCGAGATGGGCCTCAGGCGCAATGGAGAACCATAGGAAAGGTCGAGGCGGAGAGTCTAGCAGTGAATGTGCAGGGACTAGAGGCAGAGTCACAATTTGCTACGGGAGAGAAACGTGCTCGCTCTCTATCTCCCGCCGATGAAGCCTTCGCCCCCAAGAGGGCGCGTGTCTCATCCGAGCTATCCACTCCGCTACCATGCCTAGCACCGCCTTTAAATTCCTTAGCTCGGCATATCTTAGGCAGTAGCTATACTGAGCCAACATCATCTACGTCGATGTTCACGGCGAACATGGGCGAAGGTGACATCTTTTTGACTGAAGGTTGGCGAAAGAGGTGGTGCAAGTGCCCGTCTGTAAGTGTGCCCTTAGTCCTTTCCATATATGTTTCAAATAAACATCCTGGCAGTGCCTACCCTCTCTCGAAAAACATCCGTATCTTCTTGAAGAGGAAGAAACATATGAACCACCTGAAGATCCTGACTCCGGTACGGGGCTGACCCTGATTCTTCGCACTCGTCTCTAACATGAATTGGCGGCACTAGCCCTATCTCTGGAAGAGCTCGGCCTGCGAGCCCTTCAACACCTGCCTCGAGATCGTGCACTGGATGGAATTCGTGCTTTCAACGAGATGCGGTATGTTAGATGTACCTTCTTGATATACCCAATATCCAATACATATTATTCGACAGAGACAACTTGATGCAACATCTACGGCCCTTCGCGCAAGAGGGAAAGGAAGTCACAGAAGCAGACATACGAGCATTCTTTGATGCCCAGGCCTGAAATTCAAGTTGAATCATTCCAATTGACCATTTCATACAGACAAATACATAATTTCCTCCCCAGTAGAATGGGTCCATAGTCTCTAGGACAATGTAAAATATGCTCACAAAGAGCGAGCATGGAACAAAAAATTCGACAGTGCAAGAGTAATCTGAATCGAGTTTCGCAGATACATCCGAAGATGCACCTTGAGTGCGAGCCACAAAGTGAGCTGAAGGATGAACACTACACTGTTGGCATCAGCCACCCCTTCCTCAACCCCATAAGGTGGACCATCGTCACATCGAGTACATAAGCGAGTTCACTCACGTACTCAGACAGTGAGCACACTGGAAGAAGACAAAAAAGCTGATCGCAAATTGCCTGGATCACGCATTCCAAAGCCTAAAGCTCCCTCGGCTTGATGCCAGTGCGCAGCTACGACTATGTCCCCAGACAGCGCGCCAAGAGTCTCCGAGACTATGTCTAGCTCTTGCATCCGAGGTTATAGGCCGATGTGCTTGTGTTTCTGGTGCGCCGCGTAGTCAACGATGACAAGACTCGGCTAGAGTCGATCGAGGGGGTTGCGAGGGGGGATAGAATACTCAGACCTTAGCCCGTTCGCAGATATGATCGACAAACAACCTATGCGGTTACCGGTGTGAGCATCCCGGCTGAGGCCCGGCACGCGCCTCTCCCCGCATCGGTGTCGCTGGCGGTTTGTTTTCTGGCGCACCGTCACCGTTCCGTCTTCACGCCCTGCGTTTTGGCCGTCGCGCCATCCTCGTCATCTTTTGTGGACACGCGAGCTGTCGCCGCCCCCTTTCTACGCGCTGGAGGACAGAGTGGGGTGGCCTTCGTTCGAGCTCTCACCGCGAGCGCGAACGCGCGCTTCCACGTACAGGACTGCCCAGGACCCCGGCATATCCTCCTAGAGCTCAGGTCCAAAATCACTACTTTTTAGCCTTTATGTCCGCGCGATTTTGGTACCTCAAATGTCCGCATCCGGATCTGGATGGTCTCAAATGTCCAATTTTGTCCGCATGAGTGATCTATGCTCTAAGAAAAATCACTATAAATCGCTAAAATCGCCAAAAAAAAAAACCGCGCAAGACCACATATACTCGTACACAACCAGTACACACATAACACTGTATCTAGAATCTTTCAGAATGTCATCGCGGCTCACTCTTGTCTGTTTTCATCCCATCCAATGCTACTTCATTGCTCCTGCTGCCACTCTGATTCTCTTCGCCAATCAAGTCGGATAGTAGGTCATCCTTCCGCTTCAGCGACTTGCTGAGCTCTTTGGAAGTTTGCATGATTTTGTCTCATTTTTCCTGGAATGTCTGCATAAGTCCCGTAGACAAAGGGCACAACGTCACCAAAAGAGATTTTTGACTGCGCAGGCCCGGGGTAACGACCTGCATAACATGTATGGAACGCACACGATGCAAGTGAAAACACACGGTGTGTACAGGGAATTCGAAGTCTTGTTGTAGAACCAAGCTCCAGGCAGGAAATTGAGGTTTAACTGGTTCCTTGAGACAGACAAAGTTTGGCAGCTGCATCAACGAAACATTCGGAGGGCTCATGAGTATCCAAAGTACACACCTAAGAGATCGCAGAATGGTCAATGTGATAGGATCATGATGGAATAAAACTGACATTCCCTAGTCCTTGAATGTTGAAGTTCTCCCCAAGAACTTGAAGACGCATCAAATTTCAACAAAACCTGCCATACGGAACATATTGCTTGGCAGGTCCCACAGCTCCTGATTGTTTGCTTAGATGCCAGTTATGCGAGCATCTTGCGGATAGTCACGGAGAGCTCTGTACCATAAGGACTCACCGATTCCAATCTTGGGCATGAAAAATAGGATGCCGCGTTAATATATTGGCATATTTCACCCCCAATTCGAGATGCGTCCCACAGCATCAATATTCAAAAGGAGAGAACTACTGTACTCAAAGGTAACTGGCCGAGGTGAATCCCGTGCATGGCGAGATGCGATGCTCAACTGAAATCAGCCCTGTCCGCATACAGTGATCGATGCTCTAGTCGATAAGGCCACTTGTGTCCGCAGGAGGTATCTGACGTCCGTCAATTTTTGGCCGAGTCTGTCTGCACCATGATCTAAGAGAGACGACTTTTGGCTCTCGATTGTGTCCGCATTAGAATTTGAGCGCTAAGGCGACATGCCGGGGTCCTGACTGCCCAGATCGGGGTCCTGAGGTAAGCGACCGTGAATCTTCCCGGAATCAGCCCAACTTATAACTTACGTTTGATCAGCGCTTGGATTGAACGCTTAGTACATGCTTTCATATGACCGTGCGCACTGCTCGTCCCTCCTCCGCAAACGCTTAACGAGAACTTGACTCTTTTTGAGTTTTCTGACATATTCTAAGTGCAATCAGCATCGGACTTCGTTGAGCGACCAGTGTTGTGAAATTTAGAGCCAGCGGGACTTGGGCTCCATGTGACGCTAGTCGAAAGTGGAGTCAACTCATAGGAAGTAAGGGGCGTTCTTCAATTAACATGTCCTTCCCGTGTCATTGATATCGATAGACAGTAATTTTTAATACAAAGGGCAGAATACGCATTAGATAAGTTTGTTATCTCATATGAACATCCAGTGCAATGACACGTCAGCGTAACATTTGTTGTGTTGTACAGACATATAGACATTGAACCTGACCTCTGAATCCGTGCCGGCTGTAAATGCAAAATTTTCTCGAATCCGAGCTGACGCAGCTCGAGCTTAGCATCGTCAAAGCTATACGGCCAGCTATGCTAGTGCTTTGTCAGTCCCCACCGAATCTCGTCGTCGTGATATTTCGCACGATAATAAGCTGTCTATGAGTACGTGAGGATTGGATCGAATGAAACAACTTGTTCAAGTGATGAAGGGGCGGATTTAACGCGTATTTCAATCAATTTTCGAACACTATACACCTTCGCACAAAGCTATGTATCCCAGCTCGCCCGCCCCCTGTGGAAACTTCCCACCCTTGTTCATAAGGTCACGGGAACACAGCCAATGGAGATCAAGTCCCCCTAACAAAATACTGGTTAAGATACACGTTTCTCTGAATTATAATGCCCTAAGCTTACTGCAGAGTTGTCGGAGCAGCAGACCGGCTGAGCATTGCAGTTACCTCCTACTCCCAGGGTGGTACAATCTAGTCCAAGAAGGACATTGGGGTCCTCGAGGACAATGCCGAGCACGCCGAGCAAGAGGCTCCCCGCCACGGAGTTGGCCTGTATTGCACACGGTAAGCATTCAGTAAAGCACCACTGCAGTTTCTGCACTTACATTCTCGGTAGACTGGCAACATTGAAGGTCACTGGTGTCGCACTGGCTCGCCGTCGTCGCCGTCGGCGGCGTGGCAGTCACAGTGACTGTGGTCGTAGCCGTGGTCGTAGGGGTGTTCCACGGGGTGGCGACCGCAAGGAGAGCCAGGGAAGTAGCGATAAGGACACGAGAGATCATGTTGAGGAGGTGAGCTATGAGTTAGATGAAGTTAACTGGAGTCTGAAGGAGCTGCTTGGACTGGTGGACCTGCTCATTCTGCTGAGACTCTTATACCCCAGCACGACTGTGATTGTCACACAGTTATGCGGACGCATCATAAAATCCTCCAGTTTCAGTATGTTCAGCAAGCAACAGGTATGCATATTGTCTGTGACTGTAGATTAATTGTGAAGTCGGATAAGTGACATTTGAATTCATGTCAGGATGCGCACTGCGAGTACTGACACCGAACGTTTACTCCACAGCGGACTACGAATATCCACAGTTCGACTTCGATATTACCTAGACGTTCTCTAAGCGCTTCTGCAGGCGACCTAATACAGAAGCTTTTTGGGGCCAATCACATGGCGCACAGCCTGAGGATCATTGTTCGCGGACCCTTTCGTGTGGTCATCCAACTCCATGGGGTCCTCGCATAAGTTCTACGTGCCTGCGGTGAAATCTACATTGTCGACTGATCAGGTGAATGATCACTTATCTTGTACCTGGGCTAATTGTATTGGTGTATAGTGGGTTTACAGCTTATCCGTGACGATGATATGGAGTTTCCGGGGCGGTGCATAATCTCCCGTCTTTTCTGTTCGAACGCATATTGTCATCGAACACGAGAGTACAGAATGGCCGGACGGAAAATCAGCCTCGCTCGCATCGCGTTGGACGACCGGATTTCAGATATAGACAGATTTATCTACTACTGATCCCGTTGCTATGCACAGGGTTCCGGGATCTTGGCGATGATCTCACAGACTATTGGCTCACTATGCATAAGCAGGGAAAGTACTCGGCGTCGATGGGTGTCCACGGTCTATGGTTTTCTTATCAAGTTATAGGCAATGTACGTGCTGCTACCATCCTGTCAAGAGGATGAACTGTATCTAGCTCGGCTGCACAAGCTACCGGTACTGGGGTCTATATGGGGATTATGTGGTCCTACCGCGATCATCCTTGTCGTCTTCGCTTATTTGGATATTGATGAAGTGAGCCTTGACTTTTATTGTGCTATTATTTTCAAACCGCTGACGGCTCCAGGCTCAGCACACGTCACTGTGGTGGAGCTCCCGCGTGCCACTCTGGCTTTACAGCGGTCACAAAATGGCCACAATGCTTCGGATTCTTCCGCGGTGCGTGCTCTTCTAGCCTTGAAACAGGATCACCTGTCTGGTTTCAATCGTTTCAATCTTTTATGGTGCACACTGATCAACTCGAGCAAATGCTATGCCGCATGATATGGTCAATCTTATCGCGCTGAAATACTGAATAAATTCTCTAGTTCAACAATGGCACATTGATTTTCACTCGTCATTCTTTTGACAATCGCAGCATTTCTAACATAATTGGGAAAGCTGGGATTAAAGGGTTGGGATTCCCCATAATTATGCCAACTCAGAGTTTTTCTTCAGACATCAGCTAAGTTTCAGTTGGTTCTTTTCCGAAAAGTCTGTGAACATTGGGAAATTAATCAAATTTGCATCAGTCTTCAACAAGTAATTCACCCGTCGAGTTCAGTGATACCAGTGCTTCTTGCGCCGGTGACCATTATTTGATACAAGCGTTCCAAGGGCGATGAATGACCCCCCAGCGCACGTTCGTGGGCTAGCTGAGATGCACATTTTCTTAATAATTGGTGCGGTAGCACGATGGATTGGTGAACCAAGAATTTCCCAGGTCAGAACCAGTGATTGATGCTCCACAGAGTCTGTACGTAATCCAACATCGCTACCGTCGGTCATGTCCATGCTTCACAGGCGAGAAATGCACGCAAGCACGGATCGTTCTGATACGCATTCTTTTGGTGGAGACTGCGTGCACATTAGATCCGACGTATGACCCTCGGAAAGCGGACACAGTCTGATCCTGACTTATGCGTGACTAGAAGCGTGTTCAACCACCCGGTAAGGAGGCTCAGATGAATCTTCTTTCTACCTCGTACTACCTTTAAGTATACTGGTGCAAGTCTGGTCACGGCCAGTGCAATGTTAAATCATATCAAAACGTCTTAATGCAAGTTGAACGAGTCAGGCATATCCCCTGAAGGATGGGCTCCCATGGCGTACAGCTTTTTGTCATCGACCATATTGCTTCTTTGACTAGTAATACGTCTAATGGACCTTCTATGCGCATTATACGCGTCGGATGCTCCCTGCTGTGAGGGATATGAGGCCTTTACCTGAAGATCTGATTGCATAGGTGGCGCTGACGCATTCTCCTCTTGCTTGGGAAGTGTCTACCGTATCCAGTGCAGGAGTCATCTACGCCTAGAGGTCACCTGAGCCGCACTTCGTCCGCTTGACAGATCTCCCCATGCATACCGCATGGTGTTGAACTTTGAAGATACTCGCTGTACGGTCAAAATTTCCGTTGCAACGTGACTAGTCATCCCATGTATCTCATAGTGGAACCTAATTGTATGAATGCGCTTGCGGCGCATAGCTGCTTCCGTAGCGCACTATATCCTCATACTCCTAGAAAATGCTCCACGATACCAGCTGTTCAGACAGGTTTATGAAATGCTCAGAGGATGGACCGCATGTCACTCCGATGTCATTGCAGATGCGTGACAAACTACACATCCGATGGCAACACGTGGGGAGAAGATATTCTACATACCTAGCTTATGGGGAAGGAAGTTGACCGGATGTACTTGAACCGAGCACCAGGAGAGACAGAGGGCCACATTCAAGGATCAAAAGCCGTAACAGTTCGATTCTGGTCCAATGTTATGAACTGGCAAGATTGTCCACATGTTATGCTACCGGAAATATTTAATTTCATCCATAACGAGGCAGATGAGAGGGTCATTGGTCCTGTTTTCAATGATGTCTCAGATGGAAGACGCTTCACCCGCTTGCCCGTGTTGCGATAGTCTCCGGAGTATCGTTGCTATTCATTTGTCGCTCACAGCATCGAACACTGTCTGTACCCATCTGCTCAATTTTGTCTCCGAGATGCGAATTTTAGAACGTTTGCAATGATAAACCAATGAATATAGCAATGACGAAAGGAGACACCTGAACGATAACACTTACCTATTCGGGACTTGATGAGGACCACCAGTCAATCTCGTCACTTTGAGCTTATATGATCGCATCGCGTCAAAACTATGCAAAGGGTAGTCCAGAGCCTACGCACATAGATTGGCGATGAAATCAGAGCTTAATTGAACGAAAATGTCAGACTTCCAGTACTAGTGGGCGGAAAAGTGAGATATTCAGTCGTATGACTTGCCAGCCGCATCAGCAAGCGACGATTAGCAAGTGATGTAGATGTAGCTGTCGGTTATTATTGTGAGCTTGCTATATGTATTATTATAGAATTCAAATGCAAAGTGTGTCTTCATAGTCTGCGATTTGTCTAAAGCTGGCCGCTGAGAACAATAGGCAAACGGTAATTCTTAAGCTCCAAGTTGGCCGTGATGCTACTATATTGGGGGATAAGCCTAATCATCAGGATCCATGGATGCCTGCATAAGTACTTGCGGTCAGGGTACTTGAAATGTGAGTCTGTGGTATACCGTATCGTTGAAGTTGCTTTAGGATCCCGCGCTACACAAGCACGTCAGATGTTGTGCAGCGCCACCGTGGCGCAATATATGTAACCTGAAGGGCCGAAGCATCGGTACGACGGTGATTGCGATTTGACTGATCCTTCACCATGGCTCTGCGAGGCACCTGCTTTTGTGGCACCGTCTCATACACAATATCCGGCGTACCTGTTATGAGTGCATTTTGTCACTGCACCAACTGTCAACGGTTGAGTGGTAGGTCGAACGGTGTCGTGCCCGACTAAAACATCCTGATGTTTTACTTGTACTCAGGATGTCCGTTCGTCCATACCATTCACTTCGACTCAACAAACTTCTCGTGGACTCACACTCAACCATATGACGCTTTTTTGGACTCGTTTGTCATCCCCAACAAACCTTGGAAGACGCGATACAGGTGTAAGACCTGCGGCGTCTGTGTTGCAAGCAAGAACTCCAAAAACGGTCACTGCAGCGTGTGGGGAGCTCATCTGCAGAGAAATGGTTATGGAAGGATTGAAGCGTGGGATCTTGTTAGACCTACGGCACATATTTTCTACGGCACACGTATGGTCGACGTGAGCGATGCTTTGGAAAAGTGGGAGGGATACGAAAGCACTTCTTTAAGAATAATTGATGGTACGTAGTCCATGGTATTTTTCTTCCCTGGAGTGTGCAAGCTAGTAATTCAATGGACCGATGGTTCGATTGATACAGCGAAGTAGTAGTAGGTGCATTCTGGACAATGGCATTTCATTGGCATCTGAAAATGTACGAACGTAGTTTTGAGTGACTCGGAAACGATTTGATCCAAGATTTCCATATGAACCAGTGTTCTATTTTTTAACGGCTTGTGTGTGCTTTTGCTTCATAGTCAATGTTCCACAGACTTCATTGTGGGTACGTGTCATATCATTTGAATGATGTCAGTCAACAAATGGTATAAATTATATGCCAACAAATGCGGTACTAATGATCTAAGGAGATTGTTTTGAAGTAGATGGCGAAGCTATTGTTGGCGAGCTTTCTAAGACAGATCAGATTCAAAGTTCAAAACACCTCTCTTCTTCAACGACAATGTCGATATCACGCTGTACATGATCAAAACCATTCGCAAAGCCCAAAATTCCGGTAGTACAAGAGATAATTGAATTACATATCGTTCATTCCGCTCAATCCTACGGCATAGGAGTCAGCATTATAACAGTGGAGCCGATAACATTACACACATTCTTCCTCTTCCTCCCTGGAGGAGGCTTCGCCTCTTTGGACATGTCATAGAGATCGTCGACGAATTTCTTTCCTACTGGTCCTGCGGCAGCGTGATCAATGGTCTCGGGATTCCTTTCCGCGTCACGATAGCGGTCCGATGAGGTCATCCCGATGAAAACTTAACACGGTGCCAAAAAGACGCAAATCCGCATGCAGGGGCTTGGAAGATATGGTTCTCGGACCCCATAATGTCACTCCTGCATTGGCCAGATTCAAACATTGCTGCCCAAACGCGCTGTAATTTGTAGTCGTGTGGTGGAGCGCCTGCACCGTCGATCAAGACAGCCTGCTTTCTAAAAAAACACATAGGTAGCCATCCACCAAACCACTCGAATTCGTGCAATTGGTTATACCGTTGAAGAGGGGTGTCGTCTGGACGGGGTGTAGCGGCATCCTCCTCAGGATGGAATATAGCCTTGTTGGATGATCGTTCTCTATAACGCCGACCAGTGTACTTATAGGTTTGGCTGTTAGCTTCTACGGCCATGAAGTCGGCCGTACCCTTTTTTAAGTAATTGGATAAACGAGAACAAATGAAAGCAAAGCCAGACTACGTACAGTCCGAATCTCATGTCGACTCTTGTCACAAAGCCGTATAGCGTTTTCGAAATCTGCCAGCTTCACTGTATTGTTTTGTTTAGTAACATTTCCGAAGCTCATATCGCCATGGGCCCAACTAGCTTCATGTGGGCGCAGTAAGACTGTAATAATAAGAGGATTGGATGATATGAGAACCGCACGCTTATATTCAAAAATTACCTTGTGCTGTTTGTGCAAGGCCATCGAGAATGAATACAATTGAGCTCGATGTGAAGAGCGCCTGACAAAACTCGACGAAAATAATTCGATAGTGGGTCTTGGGATGTCCGCTCTTCAGATTTGGTTAGATTGTCGCACAATGAACCAGCCTCTAGATCTCGCCTCCACGTCTTCCCCCCTTGTCATAAGCGACCGTGTATTGTCCTCAGCCTTACCAATTCTGACATCACCGTGGCGTACGACTGTTAACAGATGCTCGTCGAGGGATACACATCCTTCCGGGTCCGGACGAGACTTGCGAACCTCTTCCAAAATATCACCTTCCCGCTGCTCGTCGTCGTCAACCCAGCAATCTTGAGCACGAGTGGGTCCTCGCACTCCTCTCTACCTATAAGCTTTCGAACCTCTCATACACGAGTGCCACAACCGCGCAGAGCATTGGCCCCGATGTCGGAGAGCATCATAGTCGTCCAAAATACCTGCTTCGATCCATCGCCAGCATTGCGTACAGTGATAAAATAACAAGAATTCATAACCACAAGGTCAGCACGACTCGCGTACCATATCCGCATATTCGCGTCCTCAATGGTCATTCTGTAGACGAAGCGACGGTGTGGGTCGTTGCTTATATAATGATTCATGCGAAAGAGAGCCTGACGCACATTCTGTCAGTCAACGCGTGCAGAGTACTATGAGCGAGACATACATCTGCCACGATCTCGAGTTGATCTCTAGTCTCCGACACGGGCACCGAAGCATAAAGATGCCTCGATACCGAACGCTCTGGGTAACTGCACCCTCTTCCGCAAACCTGTATCTCATCGTGAACTGGGTTGAAGTATCCTGTTTTGATTGCTGGAGATTATTTTCCACTTCCAGCGTAGCAGGAATACAAACTCCATAGAGGAAACGTTCATCGTCCCAGACAAAAGATATCAAACCACACAGCAAGTAGTCGAGACGGGAAGTCCTATAGTTTAATAACAAATACAATCAAAATGCGTACAAGCAATAGATAAAAGCTCAGGCAACAGCTCGAAACCACCACGCTTCTCCTTCACCAACCATGACGTTTTCGTCGCCGCGAATCATTAATAGCAAGTAATGCATGCACGACAGCATACGACTCGAGTTCACCTTGTTATGGTATAGATCCGATATACTATTCCGATGCCAGACTTTGCGCACACGCTCATGCGTTGCCGTAGCTGTGCTGGGGTTCGGAGTATGGATATGACGCTTGCGTGTTGAGGAGGCCCTGGTTCATGTCTGTGGTCGTGAGCTTGTACGGGCCCTGCCATGCGTTACCATCCTCATCGAGCTGCTGAACGTAGCGATTGATGATCAAGACGACATCTGCGAGGTGCCACACACATCAGCATCGCGCGCGCATAAAAGGACAGTAGGACAAGGCGTACAGAAATGAGCCAGGATACCAAACGCGACAAGCACCGTGAGCGCGATCTTGGCTCCAGTGGTGAGGTGCTCTGTGCAATTATCGACATTGACATTCCCGTTCTCGTCGACGTTGACACAGTCGCCAGTGAGCTCCTTCTCGCTGAAGACGGCGTAGAGCAAAAGCGCGGACGAGCCGAGGTAGAGGAAGAAAACGATCCAGCTCATGAATGAATAGCCCTTGACCCACCGGCGGTTGGCGGAGATTGCACCGAACCAGCTGCGTGCGCCATGTAGCGAACGTCAATACACAGTTCTGGCGCTAAAAATAGAGACGAAAATATGCACCCGAATAGTGAGACGATGGACATGATCGTGAATATACTTGCTACGACGGCGACGATGATTTTCGTGTGCTCCGAGACATTTGTCCAGTTTGTCGCCTTGATTAAGATTTCTGCAAGAGGCCATATCATGAGTACAACACTACACGGGGGAAAGAGCGCGCACCATGGAGAATATACCACGACGCGCCTGCGACGATACCAGTAGCGAGGAATGACAGCAGAGAGAAGATGAAAACTCCTGCGCGGACGGGGATACAGCAGCAGAAATGTTTAGACATTGCAGCGCGTTCCTCTCAGAACTTAGTGGATCGTGCGACGTAGAGACAGAGAAAGGGAAGAAGCAAGAGCTGGGTCGTGAAGAGGAAGAGAGAACTTGAAATAAAACCCAGCGCGGAAGGGGAGAGTCGGAGGAGATGAAGGCGAAGGGGGCGTGGCCATCATTTATAAGGCATGGCGCTGGTCGTCGAGCGTTGTGATGATGGCGATGCAACGTGACAGTGCTCGCGCGACCATAGCGGAGGCGATGCCTGCAGTGCCCTCGACAGTCATCAATCGCGTACTCGGCGCTCGGTTCCAATTTTGTGAAGGTTTGCAGGTGCGCTAACATCTGCTCGTTGGCTTTGTCTCATTCTTCACTCTCGAACTAGACGAGATAGAACACAGCTGCTCAGACCCTTGGCAACAATTCTGGACCATGCAAGAACTCGTAATTGTACAGTCCATACGACTTGCTAGTAACTTTGGTTCCGCGTAGTCACGCCGGCAAGACTGCGGGCGCATGCCTACCATGCTCTGCGAGTACGGAAGTGTTCTCATGCCCAGTCTTCATGCTTGTGGATAAGCGCACATAGTACGGATTCCTTCCCTATCCGAAGACGGTCCTGTGCTGGCTGCAATATAGCGAGGTCTAGCTGGAGTGAAGCACAGCCTGGTTGGTTGCCACGAGTCCGATTGTGATATCTTCAGCGCTACCAGCCGCAGTTTTTCTGCGAGACACTGGCAGGGACCCACAAGAATATAATTGCCTTCGGTGCTGCAGTTTACGTTCAAGTTGAATATGCTCGCCTCTTGATCTCCACTACACGCTCTGTTATGTTCATGACACATCTGGGTACGAAATCAGCTGCAGACGGCGTCGACTCTCCACTTTTAAGCTGACATCTGACGTGCTTGAAGTCCGCCAATTGGTGCTATGAGCATGGACAGTCTCGACGCACGAAAATATGGCCTATTACTTATTATCCTCGCGGGAATTCTACAATCCGATAAGCTATGCTGCTACTAAACAAGTACGAAATTTGTGCGGCCTTGATCACTATGCCTATCTCAATCGATATTATGGTATGCGTGCTCTCCCGGCTGTTCATTCGCAGCTCGCTCTGATCCTTCTGGTGCGACCGACGCTGCTTGTTCATATTGCCCGCGCTCTGTGGGGTGCGAGGAATCCGAGACGCGTGGAGGCTGAGCGGTGGATTTGTTGTCGTCGCTCTCAGGCGCTGGGCTCGTTGAATCCCGCTCGTTCTGCTCCTTCTCCTGCTGACTCTTTTCAAAGAGGTTCTAGGGAGTCAAATGGGTTAGCTCTTCACGTCATGACGGTCACACGATTTTCCTCGGAAACTCACATCGTCGTCCTCCTGTTGTTGTCTCCGCTTCAGCTCGCCTGTGCGCAGGTCTTTGCCATGTTGTGCGACGTCGGGCTTGCGGAGAATCTTGCCTTTGATCTGTTCTTGAAAGCCCTGCAGCTTATCTCCCGTGGTCTGTGAATGAAAGCATCATGTCAGTGTTTTAATCCGAGAACGCGCTATGGTTGTAACATACTGCACCGCGTCCATATTCTGGCCCAAGACCAACTGCGCCTGCGTGTTTTTGTTCAGGGTATTCACTCCCTTCTGCGCCGGTCGCGGAATGATTGCTGGGTGCAGGTGATGCAGTAGGGTCAACAGAAGCCATTGCGTGGTGCAAATTATGTGTTAGGTTGTTGGGGGTATGTGTGTAGGTGTGGAAGTATTGGATAGCTAATAGGCAGCTGGTACGCCTTGCTTATATAGTACGGAAGTGGATACTCGCTTTTTGGATCTACTAGTACTAACAAAATCCTTGCGGAGACCAATATGACATCATGGCTGCGTAGGTGGATGATAAGCGCCCAAGCCCCAACTGAGCCTACGTGGCGATTCAAATATTCAACATCGACATCACGTTGAGCGGCTGAGCTTGTTCACGTCATCGGTTCGATAGGTCACGGTTACATTACAAAATGGTATAAGTTATGTTAGTTATTAATCCAACTCCTTGCTGCAATAGCATACAACCTTGTGTTCTATGCTAGAATAGTATCACGGTCAGGGGTGATTAGAACGGACCGCCCGTTGTTTACCACCGTCCCTCATCCCACCGCTGCTGCCGCAGCCACCACTGTCAACGCACAGGGATGCCCGCTCAATCTACCCTCTCTGGCGACGAAAAGTCGCGAGTCAAAACTGCCATCCCCACTAATTCCAATAAGATCGTCACCGCCGCCCTTGCACGCATCTATTATGCACACCCGAGCCCGAACGAATGGTCGTATGCCGGCCTGCAGGGCGGGCTCGCATTGGTAAATGACAAGTCCAAGAATGCGCTCTTCCTTCGCATGGTCGACCTTGCGGGCACGCGCGGTGTCATTTGGCAGTACGAGCTGTATGAAGGTTTCGAGTATTATCAGGACCGCCCGTTCTTCCATTCGTTTCCTGGTGATGTAAGTGCTCCTCGATACTTATGGTGGGTGATTTGCTTAACGTCATCGGTAGGACTGTATGATCGGAGTCGTGTTCGCGGATGAAGGCGAAGCGAAGACATTTTACAAAAAAGTCACTACAACTAAAGTGGGCAGCACCGGTACGTCTCTATTCTATCCTGGCAGTGTTTCGCGTAGATGGTACAGTGCTGTATGTTTGGGATCAACCACACGGCGAAAATCGCAATCGTCGTGGCTGTACCACATAAGATGGTCTTGTGCGGATTGCTGTGGAACGCTGCAATTGACATAGTCTGCAATGGACGCTGACGTTTTTACTAGACAAGCCCAAATCTACATCTACAAAGAAGAAGTCCAGCAAAGGAGGAAAAATCGACAAGTCAATGATTTCGGGTCCCACCTCTGGATCGTTCAAGCACGTCGCACACATGGGCTACGATTCTGTTAAGGGTTTCACATCCACAAATGTCGATCCTTCCTGGTCACAATTTCTTTCCCAGCTCGAAGGCCACGGTGTGTCTCGCGACATGCTCGAGCAAAACATGGACTTCATCAAGGAGTTTGTGCGAGACGCACAGAAAGGCCCGGCGGCTACTCCGCCAACTACTAAGCCGAAACCGCCACCACCGCCGGCTCCTCGCCGTGGCGCGCATAGACAGCAAGACAGCGTTGCGTC